TATATATATATATATATATATATATATAATTATTTGCATAAATAAATACGTGTAAGAATTCTCAGGCATCGAATCATTTGTATGCACATACTTAGAAAAAAAAAAGAAAGAGGAACGCTGTTTTTTTTTAAATACGCATATGCACATGCATCATGAGATTTATGAGCCGAAAGAGACTGATATCTTCGAGACGTCAGCAAGTAAACGTATCGAGCCTTATTCTTTCCATCGTATTAACAACACGCTCGGTAAAAATGGTAAAATTGTTTCGGAAAGCTATGACCGCGTATACGTAGTCACAAATGATACACAGCGACCGCGGGCCATACAATTAAGCCGTCGAATTCACAGCTTCCAATGAGATGCAAGATAAGCGAGTCTTACCTGAGAGCCTTCGTATTATCGATGAAATTCGTAATATATTATGCGATACATTATAACAATCTCTCAAACGTGTTAGTCGAGAAAAAAAAAAGAAGATAAAAACGCGCGACATATAAGGCTGACCGAAGGCTGACTGAGAAGGTCGAACACGATCGTCGCTCTGCCGGCATGCTACACGTCCGAAATCTCGCAAACACATAGAAAGAAGACAACGAGCTCCGCCAGAACTACAAGCAGTCCCACGTCCCCGTATGCAATTTGGTCCCTTCTTTTACACTTCTTCGAGGATAATTCTCGGAAGTGAATCAAAATGCGTGAGTAGCTTCTTCGATACATATCTTATCTAAAAAAAAAAAAAAAAAAAAAAAAACCAAAAANCGATGACTACCCGCCAAGAGGGTGTAGCGTGATCGAGAGACGATAGACCTGACGAAAATGACATGACATGTATGCACACGACCGTACAACAAAACGCGAGATCTCGTGTGAAATGTATGAGGCATTCTCGAGAATGAGGTATACTGCGGGGGGAGGGGGGATGTTGTTATACATAGAACACATTTAATAATGAAGGTGGATGGCTATTCCTAGTCGGATACCTCGGTGTCAGGGTCGAGATCCCGCGTGGGGGTCGATGCGTTACTAGCGGACGCCGAATGCGCTCCGGGCCGGTGTGTTCTTCGCGGATCGAACGGATCCACGACGATTTGCTCGGTGCCTTTAATCTCAGCCCGGCAAAACGGACAACCCTGTCCTTCGGAATCCTGCAAAGCAGCCAAGATCAGACCGTCCGTTAGTTTATGCCAATTCATACGCCACGTATGCGGACGATTTCGCTCGTACCGTACACGGCGATTGCAAATTAAGGGAATGGTCAGAGCGCAGCTTGTGATCACAGAGCGGAGAGTGATGAGAAATGATCGTAAGGAAGGTTCGCGCGTTCTACGGAACGTCGGCACGAGATTATGTACTGCTACCTGCCAAGCTGTGAGGCATGGAGTGCAGAGCAGGTGACCGCAAGGCTCTATCCTCACGTCCTTGTCGTGCTCGGCGCAGATCTTACACAGCTGGAATGTGCTACCCATCTCACAGTACAATTCGTACTGTTCCGCGGTAACCTTGATGTGCTCCTCCGGCGTCGGCTGCACCGCCCATGTCAAGTCCGGATTGATGTTCCGGCCGTCTGGATACAAATAGCTGCGAATCATCATACGACATGTACACACAGCCTCGAATTTCCGAATAACCGACGATGACGGGTCTAGATAAAGCGACCAAGTAAGTTAGAAGTTCTCTTGTAAATCGAGCCTCTGTTATTATTATTATTATCAGAGATGTGTACTCACAAGCCTTCCCGATAACCGTCCAATAACGCTTGGCATAGACTCTTGTTGTGCGGTATCGTTTGGAGAATATCACCGTCAGACGTGACATAGCCAATTGCCCATTGTCCCAGCCTCGTGCAGCTCAATCGAAACACGTAACTCCCAGGCTTGGTGATGCAGTACTTCTGTAAGCGCGCCTTCACCTCGTCGTACGTGAGGAAGGCCACGTAGCCGGGGTGCGTCACTGCCAGAATTTTCCAGTTGCGCAACAGGGTCGACCATGGTTGGAACAATCTTCAAAGTCAGAGCGTCGTCATTGGAATACGGTCCCCTCATGCGGAAAAGTATTACCGTCTGTGATAAATTGGCCAGTGACAAGTTGTTGTCGCCCGTTAATTTCATTTCACTCGGTACGGATAATAAAATTAGTGAAATTACCGAGCGGTAATTTATTATCGGCCAATTGATCACAGGCGGTGATGCTTTTCCGCGAGGGACGTCGTTACACGTGTTATCATCGGATATCGTCACACACCGACGACGCAAATCGATGCACGTGCGAGACCGATGTAAAAATTACATGTGCGCGTTTACCTTGTAAATACGTCGAACTCGAAGTTGGAGATGTAGTCGTTGCACGTCAGATCTATCGTGGATTTCAGTGCCATTGCCTGCAGTCCTGAACTGATCGGGTGAACCTGATTCAATTCGTGTCTGAACACCTTCCATGGTACCAACGTACTGGAAAATAAATTATTAAACGATAAAACATTATCACTTGCACAACATCGTGTAAACATTGGAAAATCAGTTTTACATAAGTTACGTTTTGATCTAATATATATATTGCATCCTTACAATCTCTATACAGGAAGACGAAAACGATTAGATGTAATTCGTTCGATATAAAGATGATGTAAACGTCGATTAGATTAGACCTATTTTCGTTTCAAATACAATCGGGGGGAACAATATGATATTGTACATGTGTACATGTGATGTTAGTTAATTAACACTTAAGGGTAGGGTTCGCAAAATTTGAGATTTTTTAGATCAAGTCCATGCCAGTTGGTAAAAACAGCGGTGGTATTTTTCAGAAAAATCAGCGAAAACTAATTTTTTTTTTCTATTAAAAATAAATAGAACCCTAGCTATGATCTTACGCACAAGAATCCCAAAAACAAACGACAAGCACGCGAATTACATGTTTATACTTTCTATGAATCTATCCATGCAGTTATGTTAAAATAATTATTATATGTTTATACATTTATCGTTTATTGGTGAAATACCCGGAAGAAAAAAGATCATATATGAAATTTGCTCATATATGTGACTATGTATAATCATATATGTTCACGATGAAAAAATACTGTTGTTTACAAATTATATGCAAATACGATAGAAGTAAATGCTTCTGGCTATTTGTGCTTTTAACAGTACATGATGTCGACATTTAATTAAATGATGTAACATCATTTTTTTCGTATGAACATATATGATCATACATGGATCACAATCTGGATTTTATATGATTTTATATAATTATATATAATAATATACACAAACATTTTTTCCCGGGTAGTCAGCTAACATGAATAGTTTGAGAAATGCATCAAAAGGAAGACACAAAGACGTGGACTCGCTTTATATCTTGTTCTATTCATAACAACAAGAAATGTATTATTTAGGGAACACTAGTAAGTGTAAAAGCCCCACGATTGAAAAAACATCTTCAAATATGATGTATAGTAAGGTTAAAATAAACATAAACGCGAGCCAGATTTATACTGGTAAAAATGTTTAATTCTGTTACCATTGTTTATCCCATTAAATTAAAAACTAATATAAAATTTAGTAACATATATATCTCCCAAGTTTTCGTTTAAAAAATATATTTCACGCATTAATTTATATTAAAAAAACACTTTATTATATCGCTTTTGTTTTTCTTTAAATTATAACGATTAATATGATTTAATGAATTAAAGGAAAAATATTTTAGCATAAAGTTGTATAAATATATTTTAGCGTTACATATTAGTCCTTTTTATAGTTTCGCCAGTTTATTCCATTGGATAAAGTCTGAAATAGTAAAAACCAGAATTTACCATGGTGTTTTCGACTTTCTGGAATTTTCCGATCAGCTTTGCTTAAGGAAGGATGTAAACATTTGATATTTTTAGATTCCGTCCGCTTCCGCTGACGCAAAATCGTCTCTTGTATCCGTGTCGACATTTCGTCGTTAAAATTGAAGTAACGAGTTGTCTAAAACTGTCATGTGCATTTTTCGTAGAAGCCATCTTTCAAACAGTAAACCGCCTATGAGTGCGTTCGGGGAGACGCTATTATCGCTAAAGGCTGTTCGCGGAGCTAGAGGATGATGCTAACAAATGATGACGCAATCATGACATCACTAATGATAGTATCTACAACTATTATAACTACAAACGCAATTTTTTCCGAGATAATGTAAAGCGGAGTCTACAATGAGAATTTAAGCTCTAAGCCTTCAGAAACTGAAACCAATCACAGTCAAATGTGAGGAGAATAATCGACTGTGATTGGTCAATTTCTCAAGGCTTAAATTCTCATTGTAGATCCTGCTTTAAACGAAGAATTTAAGGCGTAAGACTTAAGAAATTGACCGATTACAATCGAATTCTCGAAGAATAATCATTGTGATTGATCAATTTCTCAAGGCTTAAAATGCCTATCGCGGAACGAGACTTACAGCTATTGTAAACGATCCTTGAGGCTTCGGAACGACTCGATCGGCCATTGGCATGACGCCACATCGCGGAGTACCGCACATGCGCGGTGAAACCGTCTCGTGTGTGACATGACTAGTCAGTAGGAAACAGCGACTGCTGACGTTCGTGTTGTCCTTGCGGTGCGTCTCTTCATCGTGTTACATACGTGCCGACTTCAATCGGGTAAGATTGTTCGTCCGTTTTTTCGCTAACATCGCTTTACGCGTGTGCCGAGCATGAATGAACCCCATTGCACGACCGGGATACATCATGCAACGAGATGCGCGAATCTCGGATACTCCGGCCGACATCGTTTTTGCGCAGCGTAGATTTTTCACTAGCTGATCGCCGCCGGCAAAGCCGGACGTTTACGCGCAACTTTTGTTTAAATAACTTTTGTTTAAACAGAATAAAATATAATACAGTCTACGTCTACGCGTAGACAATGTAAATTATGTTTAATTTTATATATATATATATGTGTGGATAATAAGTAATCTATGAACCATCCATGGAGTGACTCGCCTTATTCTTACATTTCATAAGTCTTATTTTTATATTTTGTTTCTGTTAAAAGCTCACAGATAAACCTAAGTAAGCGATAACATTCGTACATCAACAGCGTATTCACCTTTTATATCATCACGCAGACGTTTTAAATGCGCGTAAAGTGGAGATTATCCAACTTAATCTAATCTAACTTATTAAAAACCGGTGAAATTATTAGGATTCAATATAACGGCACTATTTTCACTATTTTATCTTACGATGTCGCGAGAAATCAATAGAGCGGATCCGGTAGATCTTGTGCTTACTGTAATTCACCAAGGAACACCGCCCTCGCCCGTTTAAAAGTCCACGGGTGAATTTTAAATGACGAAATTTCTGTGTTGCCTGTATGTATCGACTTTTCCAAATTTTCACTATTAGATGCCTTCGTAATTAACACGAAAATCGGATACGTGAGCTATTTTATAAACTAGTTTAGACTAATAATTTACCCTTTATCTTTGTGTTATGTAATTTATACGATTTTACATAATTTACGTTGTTCACATGGAAAAAGCCCGTGTAGTCACGTAGGCAATACGTAATTGCTCACCTAGATGTAATCATAGTCTGGAGTACAATTCTGGTCGCCGGTACCGTCAAGGTTGGGTCGGCGCACGGTAGATGGCTATCGATTGCGGGATTCTGTGCACCGCGCGGCACAGCGATACTCGGCGGTATTTTCAGTGCTCATTGAGGAGTCACTTTAATCAACCGATATCGAGCGTGCACGTAGCGTCCGGCGGAAGAGATCATTCGCGAACGATTATACGGCGAAGTCCGCGTCCAAATCACCAAGTTCCAGCGAGAAGAATCTAACGGCCAGGAACATCATGCCTTGGTCGTGAATTTCGTAAAAAATATGAAGAGAAATTCTCACTTTGTTTACGCTAAAGCGAAATTAGCGGAATAGCCTGGAGAATAATCTCGGAAAGCAATACACGAGAGATCGAAATGCATAAAGGAAAGAAAAAAAAAAAGACAATATTGAGTAATTTCCTGCCGCTCCTCCGTTTAAATATAGGCATTTTACTGTACGTTACTGACGTAATTGACTTTGGAAACCGTCTTTTTACTCGCGCGAGCGGACACACTCATCGATCTATGCAAGATCCGATGACATTTGCGCGGATGCACCGAATCGCTAGTCATCACGTTTCATTGACAATTCGCGCGCGTCCGTTCGCGCGTGCGCAGCCGCCTCACCGAATCTACGATTTCGCTTACGCGTCCACGTAACGCGAATCGACCATTACCTTCCATTATAACCTGAACGTATTTAAACGTATTTCTAAATTTGACGATACGGCTGAAATAAATTTCTATTTCCGCTCGCCCCGCAGTTGAACACTTTTAGTCGATTGCTTTTTAACGCTCGCATAAATTCAGAAAATTATATATATATATTTAAGTATTATTAGAGATTTATTATGGTATTTCGTAAGTATTAACTGTTTCAACACTGTAATATTACTGAAACTAACACTCGAGAGATTAAAACAATATATGATTTTTATTGGTTTCAATAGTGTTGCTAGTGAATCAAGATTTACTTTAATTACAGGGCGCAGTTGGCACCAAAATCCCACTGATACAACAGCATTTTTTCTCATTTTTCCGTGTAACTTCGATCTGTTTTTACACATTTCAGAAACCAAGATATTTCAAGCTGTTTAGAACTGACATCGTAGGTTCTATCGTTTTTTTCTTTCTTTCTTTTCACCAAATTATTATCGCAGGTCGCGATAATAGAAGGTCTCGACTCGTATATGCTTTGTAAACGTCGCGCGCGCGACATTGATAATATATTTGTGAGGAAGAATGGCCAGCCGGCCGGCTGGCTGAAAGCACCCCTGAATTTTTCATGTCGTTTCCGAGCTTGTACAAGTCGCACTAATATAGCAGGCACTTTTTGTATCGACAGTTCCAGGAGCGGATTACGTCGGAAATGCTCGTTTTAAGATTCGTCGTACCCGTCGGCTTCGTGCACGTAGTCCGAAATTTCGCAGGCACGTAATTTGATGATTGACCCCCCTCCCCCCCCGTACCGGTCCTTCCATCGTCAGCGTTGTTAAGCTGACAGCAACTAATAAACAATCGCTGATCGCCGTCGATATGAAGCGCAATTATTCCCGCGTGGAAAGAGTGCCGCGCGAAAGGTGCTCGCGAATCGGCAATTAATGACAATACGAAGAGTCGGGGCTCGCTAATAAGAAGCGTCCGGCATCGCATTCGAGAGGCAACGCGAGAGAAGTCGAAAAGTTTCCCGGATATACCGCGTCGCTTTTTACCGCTCGCGTTTGGTGATAATTTATTTATACCGTACTGTTTCCGTTCCGATGATCCGCGCAAATTAAGCGTGTCGGAGAGAAGAGAATATCGAGGATTATTTTTGAACATCACCTTTCGCTGTTTACGCGTAACGCGCTTGTTCGATTGCCGTTCGCGCGAGATTGTACAATTCGTTTATCATATATATATATATATATATACACAAGAACATATATAATTAAATTTAAATAACAACAATGCAAATATATATATATATATATATATTGTAATCATTTACCCGTATAGAAAATTTCTTGGAATCTAATTGGGATCCGATTTCCCAAAATAATTATGAATTCTGGTTGGGAAGTTGAACGCAGGTTCTCTCTCTTTAAGTCTCTTAGAACTATAAGTGTCGGTCTACAATAGATATTTTAAGCCTTAAGAAACTGACTAGTCAGTCAATCATTCTCTTCACATTCGACTGTGATTGGTCAATTTTTTAAGGTTTAAAATATCTATTGGACCGTCACTAATATTTCAAATATACGATTAAGTGAGAATTATAAACAGATACAATAAACAGATTATTTGGTCATTTACAAATTTTCCCAATTTTCCCAAAGATTTCTTCTAGTTTCCGTCTTACACTACAATTGAACCAAATATACGAGACACTTTAAGTATTCACATTTTATAAGCACACACATGTTACGCGCGGTATTAAGTATAATAACATTAATAGCATAATCTAATTTATTAATTTCCTAACTTGATATTCGGTCAAACTGTCACTATCGATTTTGGCGATGGTAGTTACACGCAACATGAAGAAAGCCGCAGCATATAGCCAACCGGCATCACAGAAAAGAGATTTCGTCCCATGTGAGATAAGAATGGGGTTCCTAATTGGTATCGTAGTGAGATTATCTATTTTGGAACAATTTTGGATATCCTAATCAGAATCTGTGTTGTATCTGGGGAAATCATAAGAAATTTTTGCTCGATAGTACCCAGTAAAGTGAATATTTTTCATTTTTTAGATATTTTTTCTCTCAGTATATAGAAAAATCCTACTTTCACGGCACAACGTTCGTTAACTTCTCTCTTGAACTTTCAATTCCACAGATTTAATTTCAATAGCTCCCTTGAAGCTATAAATGTTGTCGACAACCAATCAGCATCGCAGAAAAGAAGCTTCATCCCATATCTTGGATAAGAATGGGACTCCCAATTGGTATCATAGTAGGATAACCTATTTTGGGATTCTAATCGGAATTTTTGGTATTCTAATCGGAATCTATGCTGTATATGGGAATATCTGGGAAGATTTCTATGCGGGTATATATATCTATATATGCCATTATTATTTTCACGCGAGAATAACTGCAGCGTGTTTCGAAAGCGATCATACATACACACATAATATTAACACACATATACACAATTCTTTTAACATAAATAATAAGTCAGTAGTACTTTAGCGTTTGATTGTTGGAACTGAATACTCTTCTGCGAGATTTGCGATACTCGAATGCAATTAGGAGAAAGCAGGGTAAGAATGACGATTTGCCAATTTTTCTAATCTAATAACAAATAAAACGATTCGGTGTCCAATTCACTTTTAATAATAATAAATAATCTTGTAACCTGAAATTGACATATTCTCAAAAAAATTTGATTTAAACAAGATCCTAATTTATTTATAAATTTTTCAGTTCATGCAAATGACAAGGCTCTAGCTAGTCAGAAAAAATGGATCATTATTTTTTACGTTATTATAAAAAAATGAGAAAAAATGGACAAATCTTAAGATCGTCATCTTACCCCCCCCCCCTCTCCCGGCAATATTTGTCACTGGTTTATTCGAGTAACGCAAAGCATTTGGGGGAATTCGCTACTTTTCTTTGAGAACTGCAGGGTACGCATTGCCTAACGTAGACGTAAGAAACGAATGAATGACAAACCGCCAGATAAGTGTCCTTGTACTTGAGACTTGATTCGCGAGTCCATCGCTAAAGCGTAACAATCAAATAGTCGACATTCGCGACTCGCAAAATTAATTATCTCCCAGCCGCGACGCGCAACGGCGCGTCGCTGTCGATCACCCAGAAGTCTTAACGATCACAATTGCACAGTTTCAGCGGCAATGAGTGGGAACGCGGATTACAAATCGGCCACGTCGATTTACGACTTTACGGCCAACTCCATCAGGGGAGAGGAGGTTCCTTTGTCTAAGTGAGTACCAAGCTCGTGTCGTGCCGTGAATATCGCGTCTGTACGCATCCAAAATATGCAATGACGTTTGCTGCCGGTCAGGTACGAGGGCCACGTATGCCTTATCGTCAACGTCGCTTCGAAGTGTGGTCTTACAGCGACGAATTACAAGGAACTGAACGAACTGTACGACGAGTATGCCGAATCTAAAGGTAATATTCGTGCAGATCAGTCACTTGCGGAACAGCGGAACGATCTTTTTATCTTTGTCTGTCGTCTCGTAGGACTGCGAATTTTGGCGTTCCCCTGTAACCAGTTCAACGGGCAAGAGCCAGGAAACAGCGAAGAGATTTGCAGTTTCGCTGAACGCCAGAAAGTAAGCTTTTTCCCTCTCACGTGATAAAATCGTGCTCGCTCTCTCTCTCTCTCTCTCTCTCTCTCTCTCTCTCTCTTTTTCCCCGCTTCTTTTATAAATAAATCAATAAATCTCTAACGCGCACGCATCTTTACACGATATATTCTTTCCGCAGGTGAAATTTGACCTGTTCGAGAAGATAGACGTGAACGGAGATAAAACGCATCCGCTTTGGTCGTATTTGAAGAAGGAACAAGGCGGTTTACTGGGTAACTTCATTAAATGGAACTTCACCAAGTTTATTGTGAACAAAGAAGGCAAGGTCGTCGAACGACACGGTCCTAACGTGGACCCGCACAAGCTGAAGAGCTCTCTTGAGAAATACTTTTAAGCCATCTCTTCTTTGGGTCATTTTCGTTTTTTACGGTTAATAGTTTCCCGCAAAGTTTTCACGAAATAAGTTGACGATGTCGTAGAATAGTTGCTCGATATATTAAAAACACGAACAAAATTTCGTTTATACGTTATTTTATATATGTATGGGTATGTTGGGATATTTCGAAGACCTTATTTTTGATGAGACAACGTGTAATAAAATTATACGTCGCTTAAACAACATGAAATCAATGTTGAACGTTAGCGTATAGTTTCGACCCGTCTCGCTTCAATAAGATCTCCATCGGAAAATATCTATATATTTACATGTAAATATAAATATCTACAATGGAGCAAATTCTAGCAGCTTCACGTAAGCAATTGCAATTACGTTTATCAAGATGTCCAGCATTCCCTTCTATCTTACATCTTGTAATAATTAGTGCCGATAATTATAACAATCCGTACTTGCGCAACTACGATTTATCTATTTTTTGCTACGTGCACGTAGTATATACGTCATGTTTACGTAAAGGCGCTAATATACACAATTACACTTGAGCCAGAAATATCTCACACAACACACAGGGTCTATCTAGCACGCGATAGGATGTAGAAGGAAAAAATAAAAAAATATTTATCGGAAGTACATTTTTGCACGAGATCCCACACAATCCCTCAGGCGTCGTGTAAGCAGGAGATTTCGGGGAATACAATTTATGAGAAATATAGTCTCAAGCGATATGTCTATGTAGAAATCGTACGAGATAAACGAAAATACTGCTCGTGCTTGCTCTGTTCCCATGGCACAGAACAATCATCGGCTCACGTTCGTATTATTTCTGAATTTAGAATCCGTGTATGGTCGTCAGCACAATGTGATTTTCTTATAAAAAGATCACGCATATTCAACGCATAGTTTCGCCCGTCAATATACTCGACTTCGCGTCAATCAATCCCATGATGCACTTCCAACGTCAATAAACGGTAAATGTTTGCAAATATTATTCCACCGAAAACTGTTCTTTTAGCAGTAATTGACAAAACAAATTATAAAAAGATACTTGTATAAGTTTCAAGGAGGGGGCATGAGATTTTTGGAGGAAAAGGAAGTTCGAGGTTCTCTAGTTATTAACTTAAATCTTTCGTCTTATTAAATTGATGATGAATCTATTTTATACATTTTTAACAAAGGTCGCTAGGCAAGGTTTGGGATCTAAATTTTATAATGATCCCGTCTTCACGAGTCTCGTCTCCTCACCGGCATTCTAGTAGTCGTCTTGCTCTAAAAGACTTAGAATTCTCAAGCTCTTAGCTTCTTATCCAAGGATTCTTATCCAAGAACTCCAATGTTTTAACAACAACGAGCATGTCCCTCGACCGGGGGTTCCGGGGGCAAAGGCCCCTGGTCGAGAGATCGGAGAGTCAAAGCCTCCCTCCCCTCCCATTCCACATTGCAACTTCTATTTCAGTAAGAAAAATTGTAAAAACTCGAGAATACCAAGTCCTTTCGGGTAAGTTGACAACTGGAACGCCAATGAGGAGACAGGACTCCTGAAGAATCATTTCAAAGCTTAGATCTCAAACTTTGCGTAGGGGCCTTTGCTAATTTTTCTCAGGGTCCATTTTAGTAGAAAAATGAACTCATCAATTTAATAATAACACCATTGCAAAATTTAAATGTCGATAACTAAGGAACTCCTCAAATTTCTTTTTCTTCAAAAGAATCTCACGTCCCCTGATTAAAACTTACAAACAAAATGTCTTCTTATAACCTGTCTTGTTGATAGCTACAAAAAATAAAAGGTTTTCAGGTGGAGTAGTACTTCCAAACATTTGCCATATCTTCGAGATAGCAGAGTAGAAGAAAAATGTCTAACGGAAATTGGCATTGATACCAATGATTATCACTTCAAGTGTTTTCCGTAAATGTAAACTTTTCTCGTCTTTATTAGTCATTAATGAAGTATGTTTATTTTCTAAAAATATTCAAGGTAGTGATGGTTATCGTCTCTGCGTATCGCTATTCTAAGATAAGGTGTAACGAACAACATGGAAATTGGGTCGCACATCCAGCGAGCGTTGATGGATATTCCATTTTAATTCGGCCGAAGGATGTGTGCTTGAGAGGCACAGAATTACTATCAATTAGTTGTTCGGAAACTTGATGCTGACGCATCCTGGCGGACGTTGTCGGCGCGTTTGCTCAACTTCCACAATACAGTGCGACCTATGAATGTAATTTCACTCGCGCGTACACACGCCCACTCTCTTTCATCGTGATAATTAGTGACGCGGTCACTTTCACGGTGGCGTTTACGTTTGCTCGCGACCTTGTCTGTGTTTACGGTGTCACCAGTGAGGTTACACTTTTAGTTTAATTGTGCCTTTTTAAGCGCGTCCCCACGTTACACGCTACGAGATAATTCGTCGTTAGAACGTCACACAGGCACGCGTTGCAATGTAAAAATATCTCCTCCTGCGGTGTATCTCAATTCGAAGAGATGGCTGTAGGTTTTGTCGCTTCAGTTTGCCGATCCCATTCTAAGTCCATTTCGTTAACGGAATGTGACAAATTGCCCGTTGTCTCTTGATACAGAAAAGTCACGCTTTCGCTGCTGATCTTCCGACCGATATTTAAACCTGACTTTCCATCGTAAGGGGATGTCAAAGTCGATGACGAGCTTGATAAATGTCAATAATGTAGAGGCGATTCTTAAAACGTTGCGTTTATATAACACTGACATGATCACGCTATTCTTTTATATTTCTCGTATATATAGATTTTCCATAAATAATAACAATAATAATAATTTTATTGGACGTTGTAAAGCTTAACATACTAATATATGTTACTATATCACGTGCATTGATAGCGTCGAAGAAGTGAGGCGTCAACAGTTGATTTTTATTGCCTTACCGAGACAAATATACTAATTAATCAAAATGTAAATGTGATATAAATGTGTGAATGTAACGAATATGCATTACCGTTTAACCACATCTAACGGAAAATCTAATCAAAATATAGACAAATCTTCCCACAAACTTTTTGTGTCTTTTTAGGTTTCTAAGTTTCATTGGAAAGGTATAAAAAAAATGTTCTTGGAAATTTTCCTAATTGGAGCATTGACATATTCGGTACTACAAACTGCAGAATTTCTGTTTCGGGTAAATATTGATGCTAAATGAGAGAGATATTATTTTTAACCGTCTTCATCATATATTGAACAAAATATTTTATTAATATCAAATTATTTTATAGGAAATATGTGATAAATAAAATGTTTAGTTCATCTTGGGGGCTAAACGCTCCTTTTAAGCTTTTTATCAAAATCTCGTTATTTCTGTAATTTCTTCTAAATTATCGTTTTACTTTTCCAACTTTCAAAATTATCAGATAATTTGCCATATTTTACCGAGTAAGTTACCGTCAGATTAGGTCATTTTCATTTCTAAACCCCACCGAATGCCGATGAATTCGAGGGAATCGGATATGCATCGAAAAATTGTTTCTCAATTCCTGTTCGGTTCTCTCGTTTGATCTTGCGAAACTAACGTCGCACGTGCATTTTAGCGGTCCTTCTCTCTCTCTCTCTCTCTCTCTCTCTCTCTCTCTCTCTCTCTCTNAGTCGACTTACTTATTCGATAAAGCTCGGGGATCGAGAGCGCGTAAGTGCGCTTCTCCGCGTAATTTGTCGGCGGACGTTGCACGAGATGCCAGGTGTCGACAGCAGGACAAGGGTAAGCGTGACGCACGTACGCTGTCCTGAATTCGCATCCCCGCTTGCTTATGACGATGACGACGACGACGATCAAAATGGGTCATGTCCTCCATCGTCGTACCATAATCTCGGCACTAAACGTTCCATAATGTACACGCGTGTGGTCGGGCTCGCTCGCTCACTCACTCGCGCGCGCGCGTGCGCGTACATGTAGCCGGTGCATGGTTAATGTACAAAACGAAGTTGAGAGATACTAACGCTATAATTAGTCGGCCTTGCTTGCCGACTGATCCGAGGCTCGCCTCCATTCATAGAACACCGCTTTTCCAACGTCGTCTCTTCCAACGTGACGTCTCATCTGCCGCAAGGGCAATCATTTTTGGTCCTGCTAATCGGAGACGGAAGATGCGCGACTTTTCCCTCAAATATCTTGCCTGGACTGTATCGCGCAGCTGTATCCTTCTATCAGGGACCGAATGAAAATATCGTCCCGGTTCCGGCCCACTACAATATTTAATAAAGGTTCTGCTCTTGGTTCCAGTTTTCTGGACAATGAAAGCACCGATACCGTTTAAATTACGGGTTTTTTTTTTCGATCTCGGTTCTTTAAACTTGTTTCCTTACTGAAATTTTTATTGACTTAAGTTATATATATATATATATATATAAAGTATACAATAATATATTATTGGGAGTGCAAATTAGTTCGGTCCTTTTTTTTGTGGTCAAAAATGCATTTATTTCAGAACAAAATGAATGAACAGATTAATCAAAGTATTGTCTATCGCTGGCTACTACTTTTTCCCACCTCTCAGGCAATTTTCGAATTCCATCTCGAAAAAATGTCTCGTCTTTTGAGGCGATCCAAATTAGGAGCCAATTTTCGATTTCTGCGAGAGAAGTGAACCGGTGACCTGACAAATCGTGCTGCATCCGTCGGAACAACCAGTAATCAGAAGGAGCAATGTCCGACGAATACGGCGGGTGCGGTAAAATATCCCACTTGAGCGTTTCCACATAATTTTTTACAACTAGTTTCTGTAGGCTTTATAAAATTTCGGGTTATAGTTTACGGTTCCGGTCTGACGAAAATACCGGTTTCTATACGGTTTTCGGTTCCGGTCCGGGTCCCTGCTTGTCTACGTCTTGCGGATAAAACGAAGAAAAAAAAAGAAAGAAAGCGAGGCAAAACTTCAGTTAAACTTTTGCCGAATTAATTTACGTAAACATAATTCGTATAGAGACATGGTTTTCTCCGTTCGGGAGAGCCGATTATTTCGATCCGTGAAGAACAAATTCCTCTGGAAATGATTAAGGGTAAAACGTGGCGGTGTATTTTCGAAAAAATTAAATGTTCCCAATGTTGCAACGCATCGCTTAGCAAATATATACGACAAGATTTTCGTGGGAAGACTCGAGGGGGACTTTCGTCGCGAGCGATCTAAAAAGATTTCGAGTTCGCGCTTTGATCGTGACGCGTTTACTAAAGGATCTCCTCTCCTAGGGGAAAGGCGGAATTTTTCGGGTCTATTTATAAGCCATTCACACGCGCGACGATAGCCTCAAGGCTCTCGCATTAGACGGACAATATTTTTACCTTTCGCTGGAGACGATACTCAACGATACTCGGGGGGCTGTTCGCGGCACGAGTTCTTTCGCACGCGCATATATATATATATATATATATATATATATATATATATATAATATACCGGTTACATGCCGAT